ATGCTTCTAGCTAAAAGAATTTCAGACTGGCCGCCAGGGCTGTCAGGAAACATCCCTTCAAAATTCCAGTCTTCTTGCTTCTCAGGTTCCCGACTATCAACTTACCCGAAGAAAAATTTTACGGGCCCGTACGTGGGTACCACGCATACCCGAGGCTGGGTTTGAGCTCATTGAGACTGAGGTGGATGGGGAATATGCTCTTAAAACTACAGTCTTCTAGCTTTTCAAATTCTCGAGTTAGCGACCTACTCGAAAAAAATTTTGACGGGCCCGTACGTGGGTACCGCCTTTACCCGGGGGCTGGGTTTGAGCTCATTAATACTCGGCTGGTCGGGGAACGTCTCCTTAAAATTTCAGCCTGCCAGCATTTCTGGTCCCCGAGTTAACAGTTTACCCGTAAAAAACATTGACGCACTCGTACGTGGGTACCACGTAGGTAAAAGCGTCCATTTTGGGGTGGAGCTCGTACATGCATGTAGATTAAATTCCCAAAATTTCAGCCCCATAGCTATTGTAGGTCTCGAGATGAAAGGTCGGTGCAGACGAACATCGCTTTTTTCTTTCACCCTGATAGGCCACAGCTAGACTGTGCAATTTTGGAGCTTAAGCAACGTATAAGTGCAAGTGAACTATGTGCGAGCGAACAGCACGCAGAAAGGTTGAAGAAAACAGCACTCAAGACGTTTCCGAACAAAAATTTTACTAACTGTTTTGGCGTGAATGCGTTTTTTCTTACTACTATACACCAAAAAAAAATTCTTGATTTCATTAGCAACAAAAATCGCGTTTTTGCCCATTTACGATTTATTACTTTAAAAAGTGAGGCTGATACAGAGGAAGACTGACGTGAATCATTTTGATTGGAAAGTAATTTCAGCGATTTTTTGACTCACGTCGATCCAAATTTTGGCTCTTGCTTCACATTCAATCATAACCGAAGTATGAATTTGACAAGTCTTCGTGCAGGTTTGTGTCCAAAATATTTGGCGAAAGCAAATGAAAACTTTTACAATACTGTAATGCTAAAGTCAAGTAATTTAAAAGTGCCTTTTGCCCAGGGCCGATGTACGGCCTCCGAATGCTGGTTTACGTGAACGCATCAGATTATATGCCAACAACTGAAGCGACCGGAATTCGACTTGCTATTCATGATAAAGAGGATTATCCATTTCCGGATACGTTTGGCTATTCGGCTCCTACTGGATACATTTCTTCATTCGGCCTTCGATTAGTAACTATTGGTTTTTTGAAGAAAGTTAAAAGCCCATTTTTATCTTAAACACTTTCAAAAAGTTGCAGAGACGAATGACAAGACTTCCAGCACCTTATGGCGACTGCGTTCCGGACGGCAAAACATCGGATTACATTTATCAGAATTACGAATATTCTGTTGAAGTTAGCTTTTTCAATAAATTTTTCTGAACAGTCACCACACTTTCTTCTGCCCGGACAGAAACCATGCTTCTCCGATCTGATCCTAATATAGATCGAGAGAGAAATAGGACACTGCGAACCAATGTCGCCCAAATTTTTATGGCTTCTCTCATGATCGTATTTCGAGAGTCGGTTTGGAAATATGCCCAGAAGATCAACGTCGAGCAACTAAATCAGTTACGCCTCGCGTGTAGTTTCTGTCCGCAAGTAGCCCCTAATAAAATCATTAACATAGAATATCCGCACTAACTGCCTAAGAGATCTTGGCAACCTAACTCTCCCGAAAGATTCATACGTGGCTGAATTTCAGGGCTGTTATCGCTCCTGCTTCCAGCAGCTTGTTCTCAAAGATTGTCACTGTGGCGACCCGAGATTTCCAGTACCAGCTGGTCATAAACACTGTCAAGCAACAGATCCCGTTGCCAGTTAACATTTTTGCATTTTTCCTGAGTAGTCCAGATTCGTCTAGTGAAAAGTCTGTATATGAATTCATATTTCTCTCTACTGTACGCTCTGACTACAGTGCGGGCCAAATGTCAAGCCAATTTCAATAGTTATAATGCATCATCTTCGCTTCACAGACTAGCACTGCAGCCAGTGGGTGCTTAGAAGCTAGATATGCGATTGTATTTCTGTGGAAGTATTTAATGATAGACAATGCATTATCACTGGCAGGGCAAGGAAAATCGGATGCAGGTAGACCTAATTTGATACCGGAAATAAAGTTGATTAGATATTGGCAACTCTGACAAAGCGGTCTATGCATTTTATGTGAATGCGAGCAAGCATTAGAGTGGACGAGACAATCTTAACTAGGACTAGGGTAATTTACATAGCCTCCAAGCTCAATTTGGACACACATGAATACCCTGGAAAATTTTCAGCCTCCCAGCTTGTCCGGTAAAGGAAATCGTCGTTTCACTACAAATGTCTTTAACGTGTCTTAAGGCCTGGCGCAAATAAAAGTCAAAACTCGATTTAGGTATACGATTTCTTAGGTGGACGATAAATATTCTGGCAAAATTACAGTTGCTGCTTTCCGGCTATTTTTCGAGTTTGCGGGGTATTAACTTTTGAAGTTTGACGTGGCCATGCATATGATGCAGACATTCGCTACAGCTGAATTTGAAATCTTAGGCTCATACATGGGCAGAGAATATTCCTACAAGATTTTAGCTTTCTACTTTTGCCAGTTCCCGAAATCGTATTCCCATCAAAAAGTCTTACGTAGTTCTACAAGGGGGCCATACATGAGATCTAAACGTGCATGAGCGATGATTTTGAAACGGGAGTGTGACACACACCGTGGGATTATGCTCCCAACAGTCTCCTAGCTTTCGCCGTTACTGAGTTGAAAGTGAGTGGTAAAGTTAACAGGTTTTTCCAAACATACACACAGAGACTCTCGAGAGTATGTATTTTTCCATTTGCATAAAATGCTAGACGCATAAAAATTCATATATTTGAAAAATTAACCTGCTTTTTATGCGTATTTGCATATATGCAGATTGCAAAAACGCATATTGCAACGACCCTGTATGCGTGCGTGTGTATATGTTTGTGTGTGTGTGTGTGTGTGTGCTCGTTTGTGCAGGTATTTCAAATTGACAGCCAAGCAAGCTCCGGCGTCAAATTTCGCCACTTGGTTCCTCGGCCAATTTCCCTCCCCTTCCCCCCCC